ATATATATATATATGCAACACACTAGTTATTTGTTTTTATTGGAATCTCATCTACTTGCAAAACATTTCTCCGGAATTTTCATAGTAAAATATTGATAACATGATTTTTTATTTAGAATTTGTTATTTTACATTCAATCATAGTATATATTTGATTTTTCGGTCTATAGTTTCTTTGAAGGGTATTAATTAAGTTCGCCTTTGACTTTTATGATGTATGCTCAATGTATATAAATCAGTTTTTATATATATAATCTAAGAGATGAAAGCAGGGACTGGGAGTTCAAACTTTCTTTGGGATTTGATTATGGAGTCCAGATATAATCTATACCATTGTTCCAGATTCGTGATAATTGAAAACTTTAGGGAATAAATTACATTATGTTAATTTGACAAGGCATTGAGAATAGAATAACCAATCAATGTTTTGGTACTGATGCAAAAAAACCTTATCGTTTGAAAATCAAGATCAAGTTTGATCATGCACATAAATATTTATAAAATCTTATGTGTAAAGTTGATGTTCAGTATTATTTCAATGGCTATGGTAGGGCGTTTACTATGGCATATTTGAGCAAAATCATCGATAACCAAATTATTTTGGAATTCTTTGGTAGCTTTGTATTATATTTTTAATCGAGGTGGTCAAAAATTAAGATCATTGATTTGCATTTTATACCCTATATGCTGCAACTACATTTGGAGCGATGAATGAGAGGAAACATGCTGTTTCCATCTAGATTGAAATGGATCGTTTTATGTATCTTCCACTCTGTATGTCTCTCCTCTAGCCTCGTAATTGAAACCATTCAGTTTTTGTTCTTTTGGTGACGTGATTGCAAAAAGGTCAGTAGTTGGCATATTTGTGGTCAAACTTATGAGAGGAATTTCTGCTTTTTGGCATTCTGAACTTCATTGATTTGGCTTGGCTTTACTGTTAATGGCTTAGAAGCTTTGGTTCTAGAAGGGACACATGTTAGCTTGCAGAAGTAATGTCTGAGGGGCAAGGAAGAACGGGGGCTGGAACGTTGTTTATAGAACCAGACACATGTCTTCTTTGTAGAAAGACTTTTAAGCTAAAAATATCTTGTTTGTGTACAATATAAACACACACACACACACACACACACACACACACACACACACACACACACACACACACACACACACCCCCCCCCACGCGTATATATATATGTTGGCACGTTAGCTCTATTATTTTCTTTCTTAGCCTCTTTTTGACATTCTTATATTGTTTCAGCTTGGTCAATCTATTGCGATGGGGTGCGGTGGATGTGGAAGCTTATCCTGATAATGCTCGGAGTGTTCTGCTAATATTATGGAAAGTTGGAACGTTTAAGAGTTACTCTTCTGAGGCCTTATGGGTAAAAGCAAGAACATTTGCATTCCAGTCCATGATGCATTATGAGGTTTGACTTTTTGTCCCTTTAAAATGCTTCTATATGGTGATATTTCCATTTTTCTTAAAGCCCGCCTTTATTTATTTTGGTACCATACGCCAAAGCTCTATCAGGGTTTGCTTTTGATTCCTGCTTATTTTTAAGGTTGACTTAAGTTTATTACATTTTTCTTCAATTTACTTTTGCAGATTGTGAAGTTTCAGGAAATTATTCCAGATTTTAAGGAAAAGACCTTGCAGTGCTTTCTTAACGAGTATAATGCTGAAGTTCTTGAGGCAATCAAGGAATTTGAAATCAAGATAATCAATTTTGAGCACATGTTAGTATTTTCTCAAAACTAAACTTTTCTGTTCTTGATACAAAAGGACTTTGTATCTTATAATATTTATCTTATTTTATTTTATTTTTATTTTTTGAAGAAACCGGCGCAGATCGCTCAAAGAGAGAAGACCCTTGGGGTACAAGGTTGAGAAATTGCTGGATGTGTTTCCTCAGGCTTTGTTCTCACCAGGTACTTAAAAGTTATGTCCTGCAAGTTAGCTTATTCTGAGATTGAACTCTGCTGTAAAAAAATTGTTGTTCCAGTAATAGTTGCTTTGTGAATCTGGGTTGTGATTTCAAGTATGAGCTTCAGCTTGATTTTGAATTGCTTTATTGCATGGTTAAGTAGAACGGCAGAATCAAGTTTAATAACTATATTGCCTTTGATTTAATTATTATATATTGTTGCTTTTTAATAAGAAATGAGACTTCGAAATTCTAGTTATGGCAGGCCATGGATTTTGAACTATTATTGATAAATTTGCTCGGTGACATCCTTTGTGCTTTAATGATATATTTGGAATATCTTTGAAAATATTTGGCTGGGCTTCTCTTTCCTGCATTTCATTGTTGTGAATGCATAAAATAAATGGATTTTTATGCTTTTGTGCTTAAAGCACAAAGCAATGCATCTGTTTCATTCACCAAAATGCACAAGTTTTTGAATTCTAAACCTTAACATAGAACATTACAAGTCATGATAACTTTTAATGCACTTCTATATCAGAATAAAATTATCAAGTTGTTTATAGCTCACTGATTATTAGTGATAAAGAGCATATTCTATCAAGACCTGTCCTGTTAGCTTAGAATTAATCCAGTTAGGAATTGCGGTCGGATGTATTAACATTTCAATAACTATCCACATATTTAAAAACTTTTAATATATAAAAGAGTCATTAATAATCCACTGTATAATATGCAAAAAATAAAAAAATCTAGAAAAAATAATATAGTTTGTAAACAATATCTCAAACCAACATATAATTGTATATCACTACCCTGAAATAAATAGTGCAAAAAGAAACTATAATGTCATCATAGCATGATACTTATTTGCTGTAGTCCTCCTCCTGTAAATAAATCACTCATGCTAGAAATCTATATTTTTTGTTTTCTTGAAAGAAATCATTAGATTCAACAGTAAATTTTGAGAATCTAGTGAACTATTGTAATCTTAATATGCATTAAATTCAGGTAAATGTTATATATGAATGACTAAAAAAAGTTGTTCATTTCTTTATAAGATTGTAAGCTTTCGTTTTAAATTCATCCATTCCTGTTTTATTTTAAGTGTTTTCTATCTTTAACCCTTTTAGGAGTCATATCAGAATTTTCGTCATACTCGATAGTATCGTGAAAATTGTTCTTGTAGATAACCTAAAAAAATTGCACTTGAAGGTACATCATTATCATTTCTATTATTGTGCACAAGTACATTACATCTTCTACCGGTACCATCTGGGGGTAAAATCTTGTATGATTTAAACCTTTACATTTCATTTTTGTGATTTATTTTCATTTAAGGTCATTGAAACCACCATTTTTTCTTTTTCAATTTTCTATTCATTCATTTCAACAAATCTTTCATTCACAATATACTTCATATTAATAACAAAGTTATTCATTAATAAAATATTAATTTAATACATACTATCTAGAAAATAATTACTCGCTTGAAACCTTAAATGACATCTTCAAGAGTTATTTGTTCACTACACTATATCGTCAATCTTTTAGCAATCTCAAATCTAAATAGCCTTCCACACTTCCTAATTAAATTAAATAAAATTCTAATAACATTAATTTAACTAATTATATCATTGATTCTAATAATAATATAGGACTTAATATTTCCCATATAGGCTTTCAGATCGATCTCTTCCCTTACTCGCACGTAAAGTTTTCTTCCTTGCCTCCCTGGCCTTAATTAGCATATTTCATATTATCACTTTTAATATATATCAATTTAATGCATATAAAATTCAATAAATACTTCTAACAGAAAAACTTACCTTAACTCATAAATTAGGGTTTCGTTAGGCTTTGACTCTCTGCTTCACAACTATTATTGTATCTCTTCACTTTACTTAGAAAGTTCACATCATCTCTTCTCTCTCTAATTTTGGGATTTAAATAGGTTCGATTGTGATTCAATAAAACTTTACGTTAAACATGCACTTACACACATATATATTAATATGAAATTTTTTTTGAATTTTGTTTATATTGTTGGAGTGACATGTATAATCAGTATTGTTTAAATATCATAGATGTTGATTTGTGAATAAATATATTTTCATATAGAAATGAGAATGAAATAGTTATTACTAGATATTGTTTGTTATAATATGTTTGTATGAGCATGCTTAACTATGATGGAGTCACCTCTTTATGGTACTATTGAGGGAATGCTAAGGTTTCCGTGCACGTAAATGAAAAATGATATTGATATTGACTGATATAATTTTTTTTTAGATTGTGCTCCTCTAACAGTTGTACACGTTGAATGATATAGATATGCTATTGATATTATAAAACATATTGAATAACATGAAATATCGTAAGTGATTATAATCATAAACTATGAATTTTATTTATTGATTTATCAATTGATCATACTAAGGGAGAAACACCGACAGAAGAAATCAGAAATCAGAAAAATTTAAAACCAAACACAGAAAATAATATATTTATAATAAAGGATAACTAGGAGCCCGACCTTAAGTAGGGTCGGCTGGTTCATTTTAGATCCCGCATCACACACACCCATACGACCACATGTCACACACACACACACACACACACACACACACACACACACACACACATATAAATGGCGGCGTCGACAACGGCAATGGGCATTGTTATGGTTTCCCACGATGGAGATTCCCGACAGTGATTCCTCGATTTCTCACTTTCTCTCTGTCGTCTCCCGAGACGGCGTTTTCTCGCTCTCGAAGACATCCTCCTATCAACGACGCTCGTCTCTGTACTCGACGACGTCTCATCTGCTCTCGATGATACTTGCGACTCTCGTACTCGACGACCTCGCAGTCGACGGCTCTCGGCATCTCTCGTTCTCTATCGCCCTGCCCGACAAACATTACCTACTCAACTCGCCTCTCACCCGCAGTCGACAGCTTGCAGCTCTACTACCTCCGAAGTTTGCTCGCTTCTTTCCAGCGGCTCGCTTAGCTGTTTTGGGGACAGCATCGACAATCCGTTCCTATGCCACTGCACTTGCCGACGACTTTCCTATTCCTACTCGTGCTATTCTTTCTGTTCAGAACCTGGTTTTCGTATTGGCAAGTCCTGTAATGTTCCTCAATCTTTCCACAACGCTCTTGAAGGTGGTAGTGATCACACTTTCATTAAAAGACTTGACAAAAAAAAAATGTGAAGTCTGCTCTTATTCTCACTGAGGTTGAAACCAATGTGAAGTCTGCTCTTATTCTCATTGAGGTTGAAACCAATACTCTCGCGTCTTATTGGCGTTTTGCTCTAGTGGGTAAATTTATTTATGATCACCCAAAATTAGAGATCAATCAGAAAGAGTTTGATGCTATGAAGCGATTGAGCAGTTAGAATATTGGCTCACTTGACGATCGACATATACTTATTCAGTTATCTTACGATGTCGACTACACTTGCATTTTTCTCGAAAAGTTATCAAGATCGACAATCGTTTTATAAAAATTCTAAAGTGGACTGTTGATTTTGATTCAAAAGCGGAGTTTTCTATCATTCATATTTAGATAAAGTTTTCGGCATTAAAATTACATCTGTTCAACTTAAAAATTCTCTACTCTTTAGCAACTGTTTACGGTAAGACTCTCAAGATTGATAGTCCTACGCTTGTTGTCACTTGACCCTTTGTGGTTTTTGTGTTAGTTGAGAGATATATCACTCAACCAGTTCCTAATGAGGTATGGATTGACACTACTTATAACGGGTATTAACAAAAGATTGAAATAGAACCACATCCTTCTAATTTCTCTCATTGTAGTATATTTGGTCACAATTCTACTATTTATTATCGCTTGCATCCTCATCTAAAGTCGAATATCGCTAAAGATCAACCACCTACCATCCCTGCTGAGAAGGTGCAACCACCTACCATCCCTCTACCATCCCTGCTGAGAAGGTGCAATCCGATCCTTTTTCTAACACCATGTTTCCAAATAAAGAACACCATACTACATGTACAAATCCAAATGTGCTCACTGTTATTGAAGAAGACTCACTTGCATGCCAAGACTCACGAGAGTGCTCCTTAGATCCGATAAAAGATCAGCTAGTACAACAAGTAGTTGCTTCTAATGTTCAACAACCTTCACATGTCCGACACACTTTAGACCAATCCACTGATCAGGTGAGCCAATCTTCAGATGAGGAATGATAGGTCTATTCTAGGAGGAAGAAGAAGAATGGAGAGCGACTCGAGCTCAAATTTATTGGATGATACATTTGTTACTACTGGCAATGTCACTCATCTTACCAATTTATTAGATTGCTCATTCCCTAGAACTTTCCTTCCCAAGAAATAAAGGCAGAGGCAAAGCAAAATTGGGTCGCTCTCTAGCTATATGATATCCTGTATTTTGACACTTTTTGGTTTTTTCTTTAGGACTCGTGCATTTTTCTATATTTTTTCTTTTTAGAATCATTTGATGTGGTGGTTATTGCGTGGGCAAGGTGTCATGTTTGAGCCCTTCTACACAATCTATCTGTATCCTATTTTCTATTTAATATATTAGCCACCCGCTGGCGACTTGCCTTCTGCTTACTTGTCCGCCAGTTGACGCGCTTAGTTTTATATTTAGGTGAGGACTTCTCCTTCTTCATCTTCAACACCTTCCTCAATCCTCAAGGTTGCAGCAGCCATGGCTATTGATGCTCTTTTATCTCCCCATAGGAGGTCTCAAAACCCAATTTCCTTTTCACCTTTGCCGTCGAGAAAACATCGTGACAATCTTGGAAGTTGGTCTGCTCTGCTTCACCGCCACCATTTTCTCTTGATTATGCTGGCTTTATTGGCATTTCTCTGCACCATTTATCTTTATTTTGCAGTTTAGGAACACCAGTTTCATTCTCTGGATTGAAAGGCACAGAGAAGGCTTTATGTGAGGCTAACTTAATCTCCCATAAGGTGAAATTGAAACTCCTATAATTGTTTTGCCGATAATTTACTCTAAGGATTGAAAAAAGTTGTTTTATTAAAATTTACTATTATATCTATTTTTTGGCATGTACATTGCTTATTTTGGTCCAAATTTTATGAAGGGTATTTCATCAATTAGTCAACTGCTATTTCTATCAAATGATTCTATCTATTCCTTCTTTCAATGATCATAGCTTGTACTTTTGAATGACAGTGGTTTTTTTTGTGCAATGTATCTCCATTTCAAGCTTCTTTCATCTCAAATATCCTATACTTGTGCGAGCAAAAGATGCAACCATCTTTAAATTCCTTTTTTTAGATTATTTTTTATATTATACTTTTTGATGTGCAGGGGCGGGAAATCACTATGTAAATGCAAGAGAGTTTCCTGGTGCGGCTTTGTTATCTTATGTTTTCAGCCCCACTGAATCACATGGCTTATCAAATGTAAAATATTATTATACGTTACATAGCAATTTTTTTCTTAACAGTCATTGGTGCTAGGTTTTAAAATAGTCCATGTAGTGTGATTTCACCTTGGCTAACGATTGGCCTTATTTTAGGATGCGCTAAGAATTCATGCATCATTTGAGAAGGCACTAATGGAAATAGCTGAAGCACTTCTGATATCAAGAAATATAGTAATCGCACTTCTTGCGCTAGAGTCATGGAAAACATTCATCCGACAATGGATGAAGGCTTTGGTTACATCTGCTGATACTAAATGTTCATCAATTGAGTCAGATAACAGCGTGAAGAGTGCTTGCGATATATTGAAGGTTATTTTCTTGAATGTTAAGATTTTCATTTTTTGTTCTTTGCGCTGTCCATCTGTTTTACATTGTTGTATACTTTTTTCTAGTCAAAATGTAGGTGGTACTGCTTGGTAATTAGGGGAGGATTGTGTACTTCATTGTGACGTTCAAGGCAGATTAAGAGAGGCAAATTTATTGATGAAATAGGAAACTCCTTTTTGGTATCCAAAAAATACCTCTCCATTTTAACTTTGGAGTGCCAAATGTTTGCCATAGGATCGCACTTTCATAACTTAATTTTATTCCTATTCTGTACCATCCCTTATGCTTGACTGTATTTTTAATATTTTGATGTTTTTCTATATTTTGACTTATAATGAATACCTTCGGCACAATAATTTATTTTAAAAAATGATTTATAGTTATCAAATTCTCAGTTGTTGATTCCATAACAACAAACAACAACAACAACAACAACAACAACAACAACAACAACAAAGCCAACAACAAAGCCTTAATCCCACTACGTGGGGTGGCTACATGAATCCCTTTTTCTCCATTGCGTCCTATTTAGTGTCATATTTGCGTTTAGTTCTAGTAAATTAAGATCATTTTTAATACAATAAGCCCAAGTCTTCCTAGGTCTACCTCTGCCTTTCTTAACACAAGTCGAATTTAAAACATCTACTCTCCTAATCGGATCATCTAATGGTCGACGTTTAATATGACCAAACCATCTAAGACGACTTTCTCTAATTTTGTCTGTCACAGGAGCTACACCAACCCTATCACGAATATATTCATTCCGCATTTTGTCTCTAAGTGTAAAGCCACTCATCCACCTAATCATTCTCATCTCGGCAACACTTAACTTATTATTATGCTTCTCTTTTAAAGGCCAACATTCAGCGCCATAGAGCATTGCAGGTCTCACCACCGTCTTATAAAATTTTCCTTTCAGTCTTAGCGGTACTTTTCTATCACACAAAAGGCCCGAAGCATTCCTCCACTTCAACCAACGAACTTGAATTCTACTATTAACATCCCCATCTATATCACCATCGCTTTGGACAACGGACCCAAGATATCTAAATCGTTCACACCTTTTAAAAAGTTGGTTGATTCCATAAATCATTCTCATCTCAGACCCAAGATATCTAAATCAACAACGGAATCAGTTGTTGATTCCATAAATGATGCAATAATTCCAAATTATTTTGGAATTCAATATCTAGCTTCATCTAAGTGTTAGTTTTTTAAAATGAATAGAGTGAAGGTTGGGATGAGAAATTTATCCTTGGAAAAAAAAAAAAAAAGATAAAAAGTGGTCATTGTTAACCTGGCGAGGTCTTTTACAATATCAAAATACGAGTAAGATATTGGATTGAAGTCAAAAGCCTTCAAAGAATTATCTTGCACCAAGCTTCTATTGAAAAGCATCCAATTTAAATATTAGACTCTTGTAAGCCTATGTTTTATTTGATATTTGAATAAAATTGAAAAGTTCACACAGTACTTATCATTCGTTTTGCTCCAATGTTAGGATGAAGGGTCTGGCAACGTTATTTCATTTTGGACGCTAGTCATTCAAATTGAAGAAGGATTGAAAGAATGACTCTTCTAGAATTTGATCAAGAGAGTTTTGTGAGTAATAAAAGACTTATTATGTGTTTTAATATAAGTGAATTCTATGTGTTGTATTAGGACAATCTAGGTTTTATCTAGATTATGTAAATAAAAAGAAATAGCATTTAGGAAAGTGTTTTTATCATGGTTAATAGTTCATGTATTTTTAGATATTTTCTTGGACATTTTAGGGTCTGTTTGGGGCAGTTGTTAATTATTTATAATCTGGTAATAAACAGATCATTATGATAATCTAATAATCTGCAGATTATCAGAATAATCTGTTTTGTTGTTTGGGGCAGCTTATTCAGAATAACTTATTAATAGCTGTTGCTGGATAAATGATCTTCATGCCCCTGTTTGGTAAAACTGTTTGCAACAAAACTAAAATGTGAACAGAAGTATATGATACAAAACCCATAAATCATCACATATCAATTCAAAAGATAACATACAGTGCTCACACTCTAGTGAATATCAAAAGAAATAAAAAAAAAATTACAATTACAACTACAATGAAAAATATTAAAATATTCAATTTCAAACTCGGACTACGTCTGTCCTCAGCTACAATGTTAACCTGGAAAGTCATCGTATCCCGATCACTGCTGGCACTGTAACATGTTGAACTGTCGGCCCATCGGAAGAAACCATAACGAGCTGAAACACCGTTGCGACAACTGTAGAACTGTCTCTCGCTGCTGTGAGACTGGCGTGACGTGAGTAACGGAGCAAATAGTCCGTAGTAACACAAAACAACTCTGTTTGTCCCCGTAATCCTAAAAGACATGTTGCTATAGCTGCCCCCCCAGTAATGTAAATTAAAATAAAAGTATAAAAATGAGTTTATTACCTCCAATTCCTCAGCCCACCATTCCTCCGGGGTATCGATTGTCCGTTTAATGGGATCCCAACCTAAGCCAGTAAATCCACGTTTGAGCTCCTTTCAAATTTTCACTTCTTTCTTCAATTAGTCTCATTTGTTTTTGAATTTTAGCTTGTGTAATCTCTGTCAGTCAATTCTTTTAACCTTTTCATAATATTTTGCCAACCTTCCTTGTTAAAATACTCGGTTGACCTATTTTCCAGTTCTATTTCTCTAATACATAGTTCGCAAAAAATATTTGTTATTTTTTTATCCCACATACCAGACGGACCCTCTTCATTCACCTTAGACATGTTGGCACTATAAAGAACTTAAAATATAAGTACCAAGTAAATATTGTAAGTAAACAAAAAATTTATAAACATGATGCAAATTTCTCAGCATACAAACTATAGAAGAAAATTGTTCTAAATTATGAGATAAAGAAACAAATGAAATTAAGGCTTTCCTTATTTTTCATGCAAAAACAAAAAATAAACCAGCCCAGCCACGAAATATGGATGGTTTGAATCCAACTTCCTCCACATTACTTCCACAACCATCATCAATTTACTTCTACAACCATCATCAATTTACAAACAATGGAACGAGAACCTTAACAAAACACAGTGAGACAGGTACAACTGCAGCATAGAAGTGCTCCTTTACCAGTGCGTTATACTCAAAAATAACTCATGAATTGCTCTTAAAATTTTTTTTTGGATAAGCTAATTCAATAATGCTAATGAACCAACAAGCAAATTATAAAACCCCTGTCCAAATCAGTTTTGAAAACAGTGATGCAATTTCCACATGGGGCAAAAGTGTTAGTCAAAGCATACCAGTTTATAATGCTCTAATTTCCACACTGATGCAATTTCCCCATAAATACCATTCAAAGCTTTTTGTATACTAACATACCACACAAAGATCTTTGTATTGCATAAATCCCAAAAACCTTTGCAGATTTCACAGAATAATAACAGTTCTGCATAAAAGGCAACATTTCGAGCCATAAAGCTTTAGATAGTTCTATGTAAGGAACAACATTTCGATCCATAAAGCTTCAGAAAATTCTATGCATAAAAGTCAACATTTCGAACCATAAAGCTTCAGATAGTTCTATGTAAGAAATAACATTTCGATCCATAAAGCTTCAGACAGTTCTATGCATAAAATGTAACATTTCGACCCATAGACAATTCTAGGACTCATGCTTTCTATGGAGTCCAATTCATGGGTTGAATTGTCCCCAAATGAACTCTTGATTTTACCATTAACCAATTCCAAAAACATATCATGACAATTCTAGAAAAGCTAAAAAAAATCCCAAGAAGACAACATCCCCAATTGGGGACAATTCAATGTGACGCAGATTAGGAAGATTACACACAAAGCCTTCCATATACAACATCTTGAGGAAAAATACAATTCATCTACAATAAATTATGGATAACAACTTCTCATCTATGATGAATAAATGACATTGCTAACAACACTACCAGATATGAGCTTCATTCGATAGACATTGCTAACAACAATACTATAACAACACTACCAAATTTTTATTTCCCCTCATGCCTATTCATTCACAGCATACTATAGAACCTCATCAATATAGACATAGGAACTCATAAGTTTCATGCAATGAAAACAATTTTTTCCCTGTTAATGTTCGAACATTGATAAAGCAAATATCTTGCTTGGACATCCATAATGTAAACATTCCCGTGCAAACTAATGAAAATAATTTAATAAATTTAGGCACAACTCATAGAGAAGAGGAAACCTCATGCCACGGATCTCAGAAACCCTCATATATCACAACAAAAATTAAAAAAAAATGTATTACTTGTATCTCCACCTCCCAAAAAAACCAACACAAATGATAGAAATTAGCTTGCTTAGAACTCCACCCCCGAAATAAAGATGCAGAAAAATCGGAGTAACCCTCAAGCCACAGATATAAGATAGGATATACCCAAACACCATTCATTCATATATCACAACAAAAGTTTAAAGCAATATATTGCTTGCATCTCCACCTCTCAAAAAAACCAACAGAAAAGAGGAACTTTCCAAGGATTGAACCTTACGAATCAGAAAGGAAAATCAAAATGCTAGGGCTCGCGAGAAGGAATGAGAGGGCCATCGGGTAGGGCGAGAGTGTGAGGTCGAAAATAACACCTTACGCCGATATCAGTAATAGCAAAGGAGCAGAGGAGGGATCGATTCTCCTGGAAAGGGCGAGGGCGAGGGAGATCTGCGAAGGGCACCACAAGAATTCTTTCTCTATTCGCAAAAATCATACGTGGGACGCGTGGCGAGTCCGACTTGCGAAGCTATGAAGGAAATTACCATATTAAAACGCCGCGGCACCAAAAATTTACACCCAACGTGATATTCAAAAGGGAAGGCAGCGTTTTGAAAACACCGTCGCATCCTATAATCTGCTCCAAACGGACACTTAGTCTTTCACCTTTGATAAATAAACGCACAGATACCTCTTTTCCCCGAACATTGTAAAAAGCAGGGAACTTTTATTACTCTTTTTTTCTTTTACATTTCGTCAGAAGTTACCATCCTCATATTCAGGCTAATCAGCACTCATTTTTTCTTACAAACAGATATTTGAGTTGGCCTTTTTTCATCTTTATGGGCGAATTGTCTTGGGGATGTCCCAATTTAGAGACCTTTGTGTCAATTTGTGATTGATTGGGGATTGCACAATTGGTCTAATTGATCTCATTATCATCTTATCAATTTATCACTAAAAGTTGTTTATTTAAGGCTTTTCTCATTGAGATCATATTATGTGGATTGGCCTAATTTTTTTGTTATTTCACTTCGGCTGGAATTTGCTATGACTAGTATTTCTAGGAAACATTATGGAAGTCATGTCTTAATATTTGAATCGTGAGTATTATTAAAGTAAATTACGGTATTGTAATATATCTTCTAGGCCACCGCCACAATTAAAGTTATATAATCTCAGTGATTTTTGGAACAATAATATTTTCTAACGAGTCATTATTTTGTGCTTGAAATGATGCCGTGAGGTATAACTGATACCCAGTCTTTCATGAATACCCTTTCACCATCTAGATAAAAGTTGTTGGGTAATGTGGAGATTCAGTCCACCGAAGTTTAATTAGCCTCCTAATTAAGATCCCACCTACCGCTCACCTACTTTCCCACCTACCGCTCACCTACCACATCCCACCTACCGCTCTCATGGTTTTTATAAATAGCCTCTTTTGGCTTAAAGGAGAAGTCAAACCAAGCAAGGTCAAGTCAAGTCCTCTTAAGAGCTAAAAGAAAGACAGGAAGAGAGAGAGAGAGAGGAAGGGAGAGAGAAAAAAATAGAGATTTTCTTGTAAACGTCGAGGCGCTCGATGGTGTAATTCATTGAATAAATAAGATCCTCTGCAGCTCCGTGGACGTAGGCATATTTGTCAAACCACGTAAATCTATGTGAACCACGTAAATCTATGTAGCGCTCTAGTGTTTTTCTACGTGCAATTTTACTCGTTAAACCACGTAAATCTATGTCGCTCTAGTGTTTTTCTACGTGCAGTTTTACTCGTTCCATTTTTTGCTTTATTGCCGTCGTTTTTCACAAAAATTAGTATCAGAGCTTGAATTCAAATCTATGAAAGAATGATGGGCGGAGACGAAGTGATGACATCGGGGATCGAGAAGTTCAATGACACAAGTTTTGCTTACTGGAGGATGCAAATAGATGACCAACTCTTTGAGAAGAAACTTCATCTTCCGTTACTGGAAAAACAACCAGAAAAGATGGATGAGGCGAAATGGAATCTTTTGGATCGACTGGTTCTGAGGGTTATACGATTAACCCTGTCGAGATCGGTTGCCCACAATGTCATCAAGCAGAGGGCTACTGCAGATCTTATAGCGGCTTTATCAGACATATATGAAAAGCCATCGACGAATAAAATGTGCATCTGATGAAAAAGTTATTCAACTTGAAGATGGCAGAAGGTGTGTTTGTTGCTCAACACTTAAATGATTTCAACACTATCACAAATCAGTTGTCGTCTGTTGAAAGTGATTTTGATGATGAAATATGTGCGCTGATATTGTTGGCTTTATTGTCAAATAGCTGTGAAGCCATGAGGATGACAGTTAGTGGTTCTGCAGACAAATCTAAGCTGAAATATGATGATATTTGTGATTTGATTTTGGTTGAAGAGGTGCACAAAAAAAGATTGTAGGAAGGATTTCTAGGGAGGCCTCGTGTTCAAGTTTGGCGCTGAATGTTGATTACAGAGGGAGATCACATGACATGAACTCAAACAGAGGAAGATCTAAATCAAAGTCTTGTCAGCAGGCAACCTGCTAGAATTGTGGCAAGACTGACCACATAAAAAAAAACTGCAAGATCCTAAGAAGAAGGAGAATAATGACGCTAATGTTGTAACTGAAGAAATACAGGATGCGCTATTGCTGATAATTCACAGTTTTGTTGATAACTGGGTACTGGATTCAGGGGTTTCCTTCCATACATTTTTTTGTCGGGAGTTAATGCGAAATTATGTTGCAAGTAATTTTAGGAAGATATATTTGGCTAATGGAAAAGCTCTGGACGTGGTGGGGATGGGAGACGTTGATATTGCACTCCCTAACAAGAGCAAATGGAATTTACAAAAGGAAAGACACGTTCCTGAGTTGAAGAAAAAATTCATCTCTATTGGGCAGCTCAATGAAGATGGTCATTCGGTAGTGTTCTCAGATAGCATCTGGAAGGTTACCAAAGAAGCATTAGTATTGGCTCGGGATAAGAAAACTGACACACTATATATGACTACAGGTTTATTCAGGCAAGGACACATGAGTCAGTGATGCATTATGAGGAAGCAGAAGAAGGTCAATTTCTTGAAAAGTGATATAGCACCAAAGACAGGTAAACCGGGTCTTGTACAGACAAATGGTGGAGAACTACAAAGTTATGAAGAAATCTTGCAAGATGAGAATTCGAATAAGTGGGAGCTGACCAAGAAGGAGGAAACGGATTCCCTGCCAGAGAATCAGACTTGGGAGCTGGCAGAACTTCTACCAAGGAAGAAGACATTGCACAACAAGTGAGTGTCTGTGTTTGGTGACAGTAAGATGTACAAGGCTGAACTTGTTGAAAAGAGCTTTAAGGAGGGGCAAAATGTTGCTCATGAAGTGGGAGTTATAAGCAGATACAGGAGTAACCCATGAAAGAGCTTAGTGATACAAGATTACGCTGACAGTGATATGTCAAGTGAGGGTGTTACTTGTGAGTGATACAAGATTACACTGACAGTGATATGTCAAGTGAGGGTGTTACTTGTGAGAAGCTGAAGTTGTGCTCAACTTTAGCAGGTCTTCTGGCATGAAGACAGAGACTTCGAGTTGCAGAAGTGGAAGATATCATGTTTGAGGAAAAGGTCAGTACAACTAGTAGATGATGGAACCAGTAGCTGATGCAGTCAGTGTCCCAGTCTCCAAGTGGGAGAATTGTTGGGTAATGTGGAGACCCGGTTCACCGAAATTTAATTAGCCTCCTAATTAATAATCTCACCTACCGCTCACTTACTTTCCCACATATCACTCTCCTACCACATCTCACCTACCGCTATCATGATTTCTATAAATAGTCTCTTTTGGCTTAAATGAGAAGCCAAGCCAAGCAAGACTAAGCCAAGTCCTCTTAAGAACCAAGCAAAACTAAGCCAAGTTCTCTTAAGAATTAAGAGAAAGAGAGGAAGAGAGAGAGAGAAAGGGAGAGAGAAAAATAGAGATTTTCATGTAAACGTCAAGGCACTCGACATTGTAATTCTTCGAAAAAATAAAATCCTCTGTAGCTCCATGGACGTAGGCAAATTTGCCGAACCATGTAAATCTGTGTGTCGCTCTGGTGTTTTTCTGCGTGCAATTTTACTCGTTCCATTTTTCGCTTTATTGTCGTCGTTTTTCGCAACAAAAGGTTTCCATTTTTATTTAATACAATTACTTTTGGTATATCATATAATTTAATGGTTTCTTTTACTTACAACTTTGTAAGTTTTTCAACTGATTTTTTTTCAAAATGTGAATGGATTTCATCTATCTGTTAACTATTACTGAATGGGATTGTCTTTGTAATTAGATTTACATATGAACTTGATTCAGATTACAAAGTTGATCCCTATTTATGGAGATAAAAAAGGAATGTAAACTTTTCAAGTTCTAAAGAAACTAGACTATAATTTCTTTTCTAAAAATAACAAACTTATCCAGGATTTCCCTCCTAAAAGGTAGTCAACTCTAAAAATGTGGAGAAATAAGTAGAGCAAAATTATCTTGGTTTCCTCGTTTATCTCTACTTAATCTCCCCTTTATCCCTTTTCTTAACTTGCTCTTGTTTTTCTTGATGGTAACTCCTTTTGGCTATATCGAACATTGATATCTATGTTTTTGTTTGGGTCGGTTGCTTTTTTGATCGATACTGTAGTGTTGCTGGGACACTTATTTCTTAGTTTTTTTCTTAAATTATATTAATAATCAAATTTACTAGAATATGATAACTATAAAAAGTTATCTTATTTTTTCAAACTAGAAAAAAAAAGTTATAATAATAACTTTCAAATAAGATATTTTTTCCACGACTACTCTATTATTATGAAATTTCCTATACTTATCTCAAATGAACCATAAATCTTTCAAAGATGTATTGGATTTGAAAGTTGACTTTTTTTAATGGACAGGATTGGGTAATAGCTTTGGATCTTCTACGAGTGGAAACAAATGGGAATTGTTTGAACAAAAAGGATTGATGAGTTGATGCAATAAGAAATATGCTATGTTTGCTATACAGTCACTAAATGCTACTGCATTACTTTTCTTCTTATGACTTGGTTTATTTTTCTTTTTTTGTCCCTAGAATTCCGAGAATTATACTATTTCTAGTTGAAGCTTCGCAGTCAGCAGCTTATTAGTAATTTTTTGAGTAGATCTTTCATGAATAATTGTTTTTTTTGTTCCTACGTAGATATGCTGTAAAGTTGCCGTCGACGCAGTACCTCAAGCTTCTGTAAATATAGCATTGGCAATTGGTTCGCTCTGCTTGGTAAGAAAAATTTTTTTTTTCTCGATTAATCTGTTATTGCAAAACTGAAATACTATCCTTCAGGAGAAATTTTGGTGAAAATACATATACTAATCTTAAAATAGATGCATGCATAACCACAAAAAAAATCTCCCGTTTATTCTTATCCTACATTAAAGTCCACAACAAAGTGATATAACTTGAGGTATGTGACTGTGTAGCTACTACGTGTTTTTGCTGGTGCAATGAGTGGTGTGCTTTTATTAGCTTCTCTATATGAACTGACATCAATATTTTGCCACTCGCAATGAGTTTATGATGCTTTTTTCCAGCAATTGTGAGCTTTCCCTGGCATTTTTCTGAAAAAATTAAAAATATTATCTTATGAAATGGACTGATATAAATTTATCGTGCAGCTACCGTAAATTATATGATTTAAATAAGGTGTTTGGGATAGTGATGTGGGGGTTGCCTGGCTGCTTTGCTGGCTGAACCGGATCGATTTAGCTAGGTTGGAATTAGGGTCGGCTGGACTAGAGGGCTTCCCCACATATTGAAATGGGTCCCACCTCTATTATCTATCAACTTGTATTTATGTGCATCTTCTAGTTTTTAGGATTCAATTTTTGCTTGTGTTTCTGTTAGGACAGCCGTCAGGCGTTTAGATTTTCCCTTCTACGATTGTATTTGATGACGGGTGGTGTTTTGGTTGTATCTTGTTCATGGTAATGATTTTCTTCGACCTCTGCACATCCTCCACAACCTTGCCTCTACTCCCGTTACTGTCGGCATCACCGCAGCAACCATCCACCTCACCAAGGACGTCAATCTTGCTGTCTTTTGTAGCCCCAAAACCCCTCCGGCCATCCTAGCTGCAAAAACCCCTCCGTGACCTCACATGCAAGCCTCCATTCTCCCTACCACTTCCCCACCTGCAGTTCAACCGCACCCCCGCTTCCTGCCGTTCAGCCCTCTGCAGCATCCCCTATTACATGCTGCTACCTCACGGTAGTTCCCACACATCCAACCCTCCCGGTAGTCCACACACATCTAGCTCTCACATACCACAACTGCAGCTCTTGCACCCACGCCTGTCCTCCACGACTAGAAAACCTCATGGTTTATCCTTGCACCGTCCCCTGCCACCAAACTTGCAGTCACTCTACAGTCATTCTTTCCGCCACCCTTACCACTTTCCTACTACCACTAGCAAACTCCTAACAACCACCTTCCACTCCCTCAAACTGCAGCACCACCACTCCAAACTATGCCCTAGTTTTGTATGTGTTGTTTCCATGTTTTCAAGTGTGCTTTTTGTAACCCTTATGAATTTCAGAGATAATATTTGCACTTCTATAGTGGTTTGAGTTAGCTCCAGTACTATTTGGTGTTAGAGCCAGCTTAACTCTAGTCCTATTCTAGAGTGTCCTAGCATCCTCCATACCCAAACCATCTCCACCAAAATTTTTTCTTTCCTATTACCAAATACCCTTGCTAGTCTCACAAATCCCAAACCCTAACCATGCCACTAAGGAGATACAAGCCTGGGCCTACTCAGAAGAGATACAATGCGAGTTTTGTTGTCTTCAATAGTGGCTTGCAGAAATAGATGGTGGAACTCAGGGGGAGATTACCCTTGATCGTGATATGAATAGTCGTGACGGATGACTTCAGTGATGAGTAAGACTGGCCCCAATACCTTGAAAATCATTATCAGAGGAGACAGAGAATAGACAATATATGAAGGACACAGACATTTCAGAATAAAAGTAGATCTATCGAAGTTTAATGAAGGTATGATTCAGACAATTTTATCAAATGACTACATTCAGTTGAGAGGATCTTTGAATACAAAGTTGTTCCAGAAGACCAGAGGTGAAGCTTGCGGCCATTAAACTGAGAAAGAGCTCCTCCTTTTGTTGAGAAAACTTGCAAAGGCAGAAAAAGAGAGAAGACAGTGACAAGATTACTGTATGGGAGAAGATGAGGAAGGAGATGCAGAGAAAATACATACCTTCTTGTCATCACCAGGATATGTTTTTGTGACTCCACCACCTAGTAGAGAGACCTATCAATGGAGGAGTTCACGACACAGTTTGACCAGTGGTTGATGATGTGTGTGTTGGTCCATCCAAAGAAACATTCCATAGCCCGTTATCTGGGGGTTTGAGGCTCACTACTAGTAACGTTGTGCGGCTGCATCCTTATTGGTCATTGGGAGATGTCCAAACCTTATGATTGAAAGTTGAGAAACTTCATAAACAAAGCATACAACTACCACTGTACAGACGACCACCCGCAGTGGGAGACATTAATAAGAGCATGTTTCAGGGAAATGAGAAGACTTGTTAGGATAAGGATAAAGTTACTCAGAGTGAGAAGAAGCCTTAGAAGAGCAACACACCCATTACAGTCTCAGTCTGAAAGTGCTTCAGATGCCATGGATTTTGGTACATCGCCTCCAGTTGCCCGATGAGCCAAGTTGTCTTTTACCAAATAGGGTGCAATGGAGGAGGTCAACAACAAAAAAGATAGCGGAAGAAATAGGATGAGGTGTACCATCTTCCACTAGATGAGAGAGAGATGCTTTTGGTTCGACGGGTTCTACAGATTAGGGATATGATGAAGTCACAGTGGCTTCGCCATAACATATTCTAGACCCGTTGCAATATGAACAAAATTGTATGGTCATCTTTGATGGAGGGAGCATCAAGAATGTGACGTCTACACAAATGGTGTAGAAATTGAGCCTCATAACTCATAGATATTCCCAACCGTATTCTCTGACGAAGTTGAAGAAGAACAGAGTCAGCATTGACAAGAGGTGTCTAGTGGAGTTTTCAATTGGAAGCCAGGTGCAAGATCCGATGTGGTGCGACATGGTGCCATAGATGCTTGCCACATTTTGCTAGGGTGGTCGTGGCAGTATGACCACAAGACTCAGCCCGATGGGTACATGAACACGTACTCCAAAGATGGTAAGCATATCGTTCTCATACCTTCCGCCGAGTCCGAGATCACAGGTGCCCTTGCTAAGCATCAGTGAGATCAGTTTTGATAACAATAGAGGATGAAAGATTGAGATATTGATTTTTGACTTGACACAGTCACGACTGAGAGTATTTCAGGATATCACGATCAATACCTTACCACTATGTCCACCACCGTGCTGGGAGATTCAAGTTACCCTCAATTCAAATCAGGTTGAGCCAACCATGTTCTACTTTGGGAGGATTTAATAAAATTTACGTGACACGAAGTTCTAGTGCAATTTAGTAGTGTCCCCTAAAAGGTTGGATTAATATGGATGTATGCTTGCAAGTGGAGAAAACTCCTTTGGCTTTTTAAGAGATATTGCTACTGATGGCGGGATACAGGTGCTATCAAAGCTGCCGTCGGAGATCATTTAGTCCCAGGAGATTACAACAACTCTGTCACCAACAATGTGTAGCCAAAAGCTTCGAAGAATGCAGCCAAAGCTCCTTCAATCTCGGTAAACTGTTGCGGAGTTGTCTGGCTGCTTTCCTAACTGAAATGGACCAGCTCAGCTGAGGGTTTAGTTGGGTTGGAATTTTGGACAAATGATCTTAGGAATAGTGTTATTGCCCAAATAGGAATGAGTCCCACCTCTCAGAGTTATCAACTAGTATTTATGTGTGTTTTTTGGTTTAAGAGTTCAATTTTTGCTTGTATTTCTGTTAAGACTGTCACATCCCGGGTGCGGAAGAGACGGTGCTCTCCGACAACACGAGACATGGTGAATAGAATTGAACATATTTTATATGCTTAAAAGAAAAAAGAGTGTGTAAGTAATAACAAAAATAAATAAGAAAATTTTATTTTATTCCATAAATAATAATACGAAAATTTTATTGATATGACTCAAAGAAAATAAGACAACCTAAACCAACTAAAATAAAAATAAGAAAACAATTACCTAAACCCAGATAAAAAAATACAATAACTCATATGAAATTGAAGAAATATTAACAGTAAATGTAAATATGGAAAGTCTACTCTGATGGAGATGCGGTTCTATTGGTGGCTTAATGTAACATGTTATACAAAATATAAAGTAGTGAGTTTGACAAACAAACTCATTAAGTAACAACTATTTATTACAGTATAAACGTCAAGAAAAGTGATGTGTGTAGTATGAACAATAAGTATGGATGATTTACTATGTATATGCCAAAATTTGCAAGGACTATCTCTTGCCTATGATCATGAATAAGAGTGATTTAAACACATGCACTTTTATGTAGATATTTACATTCTACAATATTAGGTGTTTTTGTACGTATATGACTTGCCAATCATTTTATACTACATAATAATATACAATTTAATTATATACATAACTACACACTCATATATATATATATATATATATATTATGAAAAACCCCAAGGGCTGATATATTAAAGATAAAGATACAGATAAGTTTGTATGGGTGGGCCTAAATATAGGTCTGTGTCGGGGGGGGGGAAAACTCCAACCCCACTCAACAAAAAGATACATATAGACTTAATAAAATGTAAAACAAATTTAAAACATTCAGAAAACAAGTAGTAAGGGACGAGTCAGTTTAGTCCTGCCTCTTCCTTTAGTTTTAAGAGCGAAATCAGATAACAAATTTTGAAGAGTCGTGCCATTGCCAGGAGTCACCAAAGTATCATCCATTAAGTTTCCAAGTTGGAGTGAGCCCCCAGCTTTCTTCTTCCGCCGAGAAGTGTAAATCAATTCTTCACCCTAAGCCATAATTATCTTCTCTATCAAAATTTCAATTGGAAGAAACATTGCAGTAGTAGGAAAGACAGTCATTGTCACTGCGATAGGTTCCAGTGTATGTGAAGTGTGAATTATTACTTCTGCACGTGATGCTTCCTGAATAGGAGGTGCGGGACTATCCTGGTTTTTTAGTTCGAACATTATCCGTTGTAGTATGGTCAGGAGAAGGGATCCCAGGGGCAGATACCAACTCCTGTCTTGTGGTGATTCTCTCCTCAGGTTAGCTGTTA